GAATTGTTTTTTTTTTAATAAACACATACGGAAACACTATGGTCCATGATGACTATTTGTGTTAAATATGGCAAAAATTTCAATTTCCCAATGAAGTTTAGATTGGTGAATCTAGTTGCTTCTCTAGTTTCTCAAATGCATACTATATTCATTTTTTTTCAAAAAATAAAAATAAAAATAAAGTCAATGGGATTGATCCCTGAATTCTTGCAAATTTAATCACACAGAACCTCCTTGAGATAAATTGTTCAAATACCTCTACTTCAAATTAAAAAATGCAAATAATGACGTGTAACATTGATATTTAAAATTATTTTTTAAAAAAAAACAAGGTGGTTAAAAATAAATAAAATAGGTGCAAAACTAAAATAAATTGGGACCTTTGTTTTGCATCATCCATAATAATAATAATATAAAGACATTAATGTCAAAAGAAAGTGAAAATAAACCTCAAAATACTATGTATAAAAGTTTTCTCACATATGATGACATTTCCGAATATTTGATAAAGTAAAATCCATAATTACGTATAAAAGAAAGAACTCCTTTAAGATTTTTGATAGACTATTGTACCTTTAACATGATATTAATATTATAATTTATCTCAATGTTAGTATTTTTCTTTACCCCATCTTTTAAATAAGAAATATACCGACACAATAAATTATTATAATATAAGCCAATATTATTTCTTAAAAAAATAGGCCTACCTCTTCTTTTCTTTTTTTTTTACTATGTATCTTTTTAAAAATTACAGAAAACTTTAAATAACACGAAATATGTTAGCACGCACACACACCATATAACTAATTAATTGGTTAATTACACTACTTTTATTTATACAAAACACATTTATTTTTAATAAATGCATTTTTTATTTTTAATATTTTTTATGTTTAATTAAAGTAATAAAGATAATATTCTTAGAATAAAAATACTTTGTAAAAAAAAATTATAATTATAAAAATTTTATTTTACATCAAATCATTGTATAATTCAAAAGTTTCGCGAATAGGATTTTTGGTTTTTTAGCCTTTGAAGATGAAGATAAAAGGGACGCTTAGTATCTATACAAATTGAAAGGACAACATTTTATGCAGCCCGAATTTCTGCTCAATTTCAAGTTGGTCCTTGAATATCAACGTCTTTTTAGTTTTAATCCTTTTAAAGTTTTGATTATGCAATATGAGATGGAATTGAAACCAAATCAAAAAGTTTTTTTTTCTTCTTCAATGGGTCAATGGACAAAATTAAACAAGCTTTTCAAATTCTACTTTTCCAAAATAGTCCTTGGATTTTCAAGTCTTTTTAATTAAAGCTAAAATTAATTATAAAATCAGATATTCACTCAATTCAAGCCTAGCCTTGATTGAATTAAAAAGACCTTTTAAATTATATCAATTCAATACTGTGATCCTTAGTCATTGAATCCTTTCAATTACAACCAGTTTTTCTTGAATTGCATCTTTAATGTGCTTTTTAAACAATTAAAAAATTATCATGTCCCATTAAATCTTAAAAACTTTAGATTGATTGGTTTGGAAGTATATTTGTTTTTTTTTTGTTTTTGAATATATATTTGATTTTTTTTAAGAAAACAATATTAATTATAAAATCAATAGATGGAATGAGATTTGAATCCTTCATATCTAACTTTTCCAGCCCAGTTATTGCACCAATCACAAATAGAATTCGACAAAAGCAATCGCTCGAGACTTGAGTTCCAAAACACTTTAGCTAACCTCTGCATTGTTTTGCTGCTTCAAAATTCAATTAAAGAATTAAATTAAATATCGTCCATAGAATTCCCTTTAATTAAGCTCTAAACTGAATTTTTGTGTTTGCAATAATATAGAGCACCTGACTTCAAATGATTTTTAATTTTTAATTTTTAATCTAGAATACCTGCCCATTAATAAAGATAATTCCCTCTAATGATTTTCTCAATTTGATCAGGGGACAAATTTATCTGCAACTCCTCATTAAACAATATCTCTGTAAGCTCTATCCTTTCCTTGCAGCATCCGCTGATCAGGGGATGATTAGAGTAGGTTCTTCATCGTTTCATATAGCTCAAGACATTTTTGTGAACTTGCTGCTTTTAAATATCCTGAGATCAAAGAGTTATATATATATCTTTGTTGCATTAGGCAAAACCCCATTGACCACCTTCTTCCCAAAGACTACGAATCTTTCCATTTTGCACAAACAATTTATGAGATAACCATAGCTTATGGCATTTGACTTTTTCCCATTTCCTCCACTTCTTCAAGAATCTGGAAACACCTATGAAAAGCACACAACCTTCCATGACAATCTAGCCTTAACCCATGAATTTCCATTCGCCCAATAGTCAAAATGAGAATAGTTTTGAAATTTGGTCCGGTTAGGTGGGTCTATCCAGGACGCAGTCGATTAATGACTAGAATTGAATCGGGTTAAAAAACAAGACATGATGTGATTCAGTTGATTTGGCAAGTAGATCTGGTAAGACCCAGTTAAAAATCTTATTATAATATGTTAATTTTTTTTACTAAAATAATTTCATTTTAATTTTTTAAAAATAAAAATTAACTTGAATGAACTGCTGATTCAATCAAAATTCAATGACTCAACTAATACCTAAAATATAGATTTTTAACCAGGTCTGAAAACTATGAAAATGACACCATCTATACATGAAGCCCATGTTTCACAAGGAACACCAAAATCTCCACTGCCTCCTCGACTCTCCCTTATTTACATAATTCATTCAACAGAATACCACCTGTGTAGTTTAATAACCACTGAAGATTAGTTATCGAATAAAAATATCTTAAATTAAATATTACAATTTTAATGTCAAATTAAAAAAATCTAAAACCCCCACCACTCCTGTTTATCACTGTAGTAATAAATGTTTTTCAAAGTATTTTTTTATTTGAAATTATATTAAAATAATATTTTTTTTTATTTTTTAAAATTTAATTTTGACACTAGTGTATTAAAACAATTTAAAAAACCAAAAAAAAAAAATCAAGTAAAAAATTCAAGTTTTTGCCGAAAGACTTTCTAGCCACAAAAACAAAAAGAATTACCTAGGTTGCTAGGCAATATAATCTTTCAGGTATTTCATTCCACAATGATAAAAGAACAATCTCTCTATAAAATGTTTTCTTGCTAATTACCAACATATTCTTTCTGGATTTGTCAAAAAAATTATCTAAATCTTAAAATTTAAATCAAATAAAAGTTTTCAAACTTGAAACTTACACATGCATTTATTACCTTATATTATTAATTAATTATAATTAGAAAAAAATAAAAAAATAAAATTTAAAATTATAACTATCTAATTATCAAAACTCTAATATTTATATTAAAAAACCATCTCAAACCAAAACTTAAAAAACTTATAAAGTTGAGATTGTGTTTTTTACACAACATAGTCTTCAAAACAACTTAAAACAACATTTACTTCTTCATGCTGCCGACCTTCTTCTAAAAGCTTTTTCAATGTACCATACCAATTCTTACACTGTTTTTTTAAATTGGGAATCTTAATTTTACTTCAGAATTTTCCAAGGGCCATAATGATAAATTGAACAATCAATTTGTAGTTTTTTTTAAATAGCAAAAATAATTAATTTATAACTCACAATTGAAGTGAACTTGGATCATACGTAAAGAGAAAATAAATAAATGAAACATGAAAAAATATATTTTGATTTCTATGAGATTTTTTTTGATCTCCAGAGAGGAGAGAAGAAATGATTAGATTTTAAAATCAATTTAAAAGGTAGAAAATTTTGGATGAGCTAATTTGAGTTTAAGCTATTTGTGTTATATTATATATGGAAATTATTATTTTTTTCTAAATTTAAAAATTATTGATGTACTTTTTAATTTTTAAAAGAATATAATTTTTTTTTAAAATATCTGTAGTAATTAATCAGCTAGTTTAAATTAAATTTAATTGGATTAACCTAATCATTAAAAACCTAAATAAGTAAATTAAGTTTTACCATTACTCATTTTTTTCAGTTGAATTTAAAACTTAGTAGAGTCAGATTCTGAATCAAGAATTTCTTATTTAATTTATTAAATCAAGATAGGCTTATTTTATCAAGTAAAAATAAATAAATTCCATAACAGTTAAATAATTAAATAAAAAAAGAAATCTCCAGCCTCCATATGTTCTCAGCCAGCTGGTGAGATTCCAAATTTTGTTTCAGATCTGAGCCCATTTATGGCCCAAAAGAACACTCATATTCATAGCCCCTCTGAGTAGCAAAAGATATTGGTAACCAATTTGTTTCAGCCCATTTTGGAAAGCAAAAAAAAACAAAAATAATAATAATAATAATAAAATATTTCTCAAACAAGTGAGAAGTGAAGCAGGTGTTGAGGATCTGTTAAATTTTCTCTACTGTTCAGAGATCTGTTTCGTACGAACAACCCTCACCTCTTCTCTCCATCAATGCAACACTAATCCAACCAAAGCAACAAACACACATCATTTTGCAAGCGATATGGAATACAGGAAAATCAAAGACGAGGTAAAATCTCTACTTTTTTTTTTTTTTTCACCTGCGTTTTCAAAACTCATATGCGACTTGCAGGAAGATCAAATTGGGGATGGTGTTGTTGGAGACGCAGTAACTTCAAGAGGAGGTAAATTAATCTCGTCTCTATTATTAGATTGAGTGTGTTTGCTTGCTATTGCGGTTGCAAAGTGCTTTTATGTGGTGGTTTTTTAATGGCTGTGACATGAAATGCACTGCTTATTTGTACTGATTTCTATATGGATTTCCTTTATTGCTGGCTGCCGTTGATTGATTTATGCAGTTTCTCCATCCAAGGTTACTAGTTTTCCGACTGGCTCAGTTGACCGGTTGCGCTGGAAGCGCAAGTAAGGCCTGCTGTTTTTATTTTTATGGATAGTTATAATTCATAAATTTTGGATTTTTTTTAGTTATCTTTTGTTTGATTGGATTAGGATGGTTGTTACGCTTGCATTAACGATTCTTACAAGTTCACAAGCAATACTTATTGTTTGGTCTAAGCGAGCTGGCAAGTATGAGTATAGTGTTACTACAGCGAATTTCATGGTGAGGACATGGTGGCATTTGTCTAGGTTTTCTACTTGGCTATTATTTTTGTTGAAATTTTGTTTCTCTTTCTATAAATAGGTAGAAACTTTGAAATGTGCATTATCACTCGCTGCGTTGGCAAGAACATGGAAGAAGGAAGGCGTTACAGAAGATAACAGGTTATTTTTATAGGGTCTACTATTTTTTAATGATTTGCTTCTCTTTCTCCTTTTTAAAGATTAGGAATTTTTAATTGTGTCAATAGGAGTTTTTTGGCTTGTGTTTCATGCTACATTAGGATTATTGACTTTTCCTCCCATTTTTTGATTTTCTTTATCTCTTGATACTGGCACTTATTTTTATTTTGTAATGTTTGGTAATTGCACTGCAAATTAGAATAACTAAGTGTTGTTGAATGTCTTATGCTGTCTGAATCCTTCTATCGAACTAGGTTGAGTACAACATTCGATGAAGTTAAAGTTTACCCCATTCCCGCAGCACTTTACCTTGTCAAGAATTTGCTTCAGGTGAGTTTTCCTAGTTGTTTGTTAATTATAAGTACAAGCTGCTTTCTGAGATCTTATTGTATGTATTTTGTGTTTTGTGTGGCAGTATTACATTTTTGCTTATGTCAATGCCCCGGGCTATCAGATATTGAAGAATCTCAATATTATTAGCACTGGTGTCTTATATCGAATAATACTTAAGAGAAAGTAAGGTTTTTTTACTCTGTTTATGCTAGATTTAATTGGTATATACATTTAAGCACTAAAACTCAGTGAATGGATGAAACTAGTGATGGATATTTTAATCAACAAAGACTTGGCAAAACTAGGCATTCTTTCCTGACAAGTATATTTGTGTTTTTCTAATCTTTTTCAGGTTAAGTGAGGTTCAGTGGGCTGGTTTCATACTTTTATGTGCTGGCTGTACCACAGCGCAACTAAACCCTACGTAAGTTGATAACCATCCCATTTCCTATTGCTTATGATAAAAATGTTCCAGAGACATCTCTTAGCATCACTGCTTCTCATCTTTTGGCATCCTGAACTCAAAATCTTCTCTGTGATTGTCATATATAGAGTTTCAGTTTGATTGACATCCATATTGCATCTTTGTGTTGTGATAAAAAAAAAAAAAACTGGCCTGTGGTCAAGTAATCAATCCTGGCTTGTGGTAGGTGGCATTTTTTTTTTTTGAACATCGTGTGTGTTCAGGTAATGTTCAATGCCGTGTATCTATAGCAAAAGCTAATATGTTTTTAGTTTTTAGAAACTGTCCTGTACTTGGAAATATTGGTAAACATTTCAAACCATCAATCAATTTTGATATAGCCATGCATGAAAAGAAAGGGTTTAATATCCTTTGTCCCTCACTTCACTATTAGTGTAATCCTATTGTGAAATTCAAATTTGTTTTAGTCTATTGAATTGCCATGCTAAAAATGATAATTTGTTTGCAGTTCAGACCATGTTCTTGAAACACCTTTACAAGGTTGGATGAT